TTTACGGAACAGCAATTGAATGTTACAAGTACTGTTTAGGAAACTCTCAAAATATATTTAATTTTATCTTTTTTAATTTTAAATTCAATATTAATTTATTCTATTATTTATTGTATACGCATATGTGGTACTAAGGAGGTTATTCCAAAGGGCTGAAACACGCCTGCGTCAATTAACCTTTGGACCACAATACACTTGATCGAAAGATCCCGCAAGAACCCCATCTATCGAGAGATCGATTCAACGTGCTAACCGCCGCCGCCGCAAATAACTTTATTTTAAATCTTCAAAAGGTCTTACCAATTCGGTACCGTTTACTCGTGAGAGTAGTTGTTCCTGATCCAGATACAGGGTGGCCACCCAGGAGAAGACTACAACCCTCCAAGGTAAGCCGACCTCGTACCACGTGTTTTATTTTAGCAGGCATTTCTATTTTCTCGAGTATATTACAATAATTTCTTTATTTCCTTTCTAAACAAGTACAATAGCTAGACAAGAACTAAAACTAAAATCTACATTAATTTGTGAAGAAACCTCTTCTTATGGCAAACTGCTGAATTGTAGGTTCCCAGGCAAAAGTGCAGGTGCGTCCTGCGGATGTCGTCCGTGAGAAGTGTATCTGTGTATTTCGACTGTCATAACTATACGGTGGTATCTAATATTTATTCATTATTATGTAAATTCACTATAAAAATAGATTTTTTAAAAATTCGCCCAAAAGATCAAGTCTGCCTTGGAAATTCCATTGACACTTTATATGACAGCAAGTTAATTTTTGTTTACACTATTAAGTGTCAAATCTGGACACAAAAATTTATAATGGATAGTGTAAAGTATATTAACAGTCAACAATATGTTTACAAGTGAGGCAACATGTTGAGATATGTATGTTTACTTAAAAAAAAATAATAGAAATTCCAATATTGGCATGCGCAAGTTATAGAACTATGATTGTATCCTGAAAGGACACAGCCTCATCGTACTATTTTCGCAAGGATTTCAAGAAATTTAGCAGTTGCTGGTAGCTTGAAAAAACAAGATGGCATTATTTTAAAAGTATTAATGATATTAATGTGCCAGCTCAGATTGAAATAAGTCCGGAAACTTCTAGCCGTAAAATAAGTCGCGAGTGTTGTATAAGTGAAAAGAAACATAAATATTACAACTTTAAATTTAAATGTGTAATACAATTATTGTATCTTGTATTGACCTGCATTGAACTATACTATACAATTTTTGTGCGTCCAGATTTGTCACTTAATAGAATAAACAAAAAATAACTTGCTGACATATAAAATGTCAATTGGATTTCCAAGGCAGACTTGATCTTAGACGAATTTTTAAAAAATCTATTTTTTTAGTGAATTTACACAATAATGAATAAAAATTAGATACCACTGTATAGACTTTTTTTCGCTCTATCTAATAGTATAAAAATTCAAAATGGCGGCCATAAGAAAACAAAAACTTGACTGTTGTTGTGCGAAATCTAGAGGCTTAGAAATTTTCTGAAAACGGCATTTAATTGGCCGAGGTTAAAAATATAAAACTACCAACATACGTTGCAATAGATACAATAGTTTTGAAGATATGGCCCCCCCCAGATAACACGTGCGTGTCTTATAAAATTGGTCTTAACCTCACATCAATATTATCTTATAGTGACCTAAGCCCCCCCAAAAGAATTAAGCCCCCCTAAAAGTATATGTCTAGTTGCGCCACTGACTACGCTTCAACCGCCTATTATTACCTCACGACTGTGAATCCCAAGTACTCATTTAAGGCTGAGTCGACCTAGAACCAACTATTTTTATTTTTAATAAAAATAGTCGGCTGATGATATGCCGGGTGTAGGAATCGAACCCACACCTTGAGATTGGTAGACGAGAGCCTGTACCTCTACGCCACCGGGCACCTTTAATTTTAATCCCGTTTATACTTTTCCAAATTTCCATGCCGTTTTAGAGAAAATTATAAAAAGCGTGAAAAGATGGTTGAAGTCCTAAAAACGAAAACGCGATATGGTAATATAATTTCGTTTTCATTCATTGATAGATTGTTATTGATAGAATTATAATTAACGTCAAATTTTTTGCTGTCTTAAAATCTTAAAGAAGCATAAAATTTATTTAGTACAATGCTATAGGCAGTGCCGGACTTAGACATCCAGGGCCACTCGGTGCCGGACTTAGACATCAAAAGCCCCTAGGCACTTGACATTTGGGGCCCCCCATGTCATAGCCAATTTGGAAATTTACCGAATTAAATACACTAGTACAGAACATATCATTTTTAATCGAGTTTAATGACTTAAACCTTTAAGCTAATACTTTCGATAAAGCGTTTTGATAAGCCAGGCTTTTGAGCTTATATATAAAAGTTGCGCGCCACTCATTGCTTGGGGCCCCTAGGCTGGCTGGGCCCCTAGGCCCGGGCCTTGCAGGCCTAGGCGGAAATCCGGCCCTGGCTGTAGGGAGAGAGTGATAATATTTAAGGGAAAATATAATACTTTAACAACAGCAAAAAATATGACGTTAATCAAAATTAATTATAACATCTATTAAAGAATGAAATCGAAATTATATTATACCTACCATATAGAAATGCCTTTTGATTTTTAGGACTTCAATTTCATGCTTTTTTTTCTAAAACGGTATGGAAATTTGGCAAAGCATAAATGGAATTATTTAGAAGAAGCAAACATTTTTATGAAGAATGCATTTTTAACAAAATGTCAATAATTAAAAAAGTTTTTCTTCTTGTACATATGATAATTCGGTATATTGCAAAAGAATTTTATGGGTCGAGCACTATAATAATTATCTTTTAAATGACTTTACTGAACAAACGAGAAGGTTTAGGTATAGGAACATTATAGGAACATGATATATCGTTGAAAAGCAATTTGATTTATGTTTCTATTTTTTAAATAATGTACACATAGGCTTAAATTTAAAATATAAATGATTTGAGCGATTTTATAACAAACGGAAATATCTATTTTTTTATCTCCCTGTTTTAATCTAATCTGTTGATTTAGACAGAGCGAATATGTCGACTTTCCTTAACTTATAAACCAAATTTCAGCTTTCAATATGCCGAATTTATGCAACGCTTATTCAAGATCTTGTTTTTGTCAATTTTACACATGCTTTATTTCTTATCTCAAAAACTGTTCAAGATAGATATATATTAAAATAACATGCTACGAGTTTTATTATGAAGCGACAACACTGTAACGCTGAAAATAATTTAGACAGATCGATTAGGTGACTTCAAAATTTTCAAAAAAATCTGGTTTTCCATAAACGTCTAATGTACTATGGACGTGAATCACTCTGTATATGCGTAATTCCAATTTTAACTTATTTAACTATAGGCAACTCAACATACATATGAGCCAGAGCCATCTGTTGTTGAACGTATGTTGGAGCAACACAATTCCTATAATTCAAGTAATAGTTGAGGCTATTGTTAGAAGAGGTCGCTGAAATAACCACTACAATGATTTTAATAACTTCTTTCCACGGTTGTCAGATTCTCAACTAAAAAATACTAGAAATATTAAACATAATGTCCATAAACATAAAAATATAAATCAACCTCATTAAAGTTTGAAATTTTTTATATCGATTTATGTATTTATTTATTATAGAAGAAATATAGAATTGCATATTTTAAAGATGCGGTTTATTTCGAATAACCTCATATAAATATTGAACTTATTCTTTTCTATATCTCATACATTTAAAAATCATATTTACTCAATATAAAAATAAATCCGTTTTTAAAGCCAACTGGCAGTAAGCGCCATTATAAAATAAAAAAGAGTACAGACCAAAAGTAATGACGTCTAGGGCTTGTCCTCGTCAAAATTATCATCGATTGTCATTCCCCAACCGTTTTTGACCTTGGTTTTTGACGACGTTTTTTTATCGTATGGTATAATAAAGTAAAAAAGTATACCAGATGCGTCTCAAAATTAGCTCACCTCTAAAACTTTTTTATTTTTCAGAGATAAAAAACGGGTTTTGGTATAATAGTATATGACATAAATTAGGATTGATTGACGTATTCAATTGTTTTCGGTCTCACCGGAAATGACTACAAACTACAACTTTTAATTTTTAAATAGCACCCTGGGTATTTTATTTACTTTATTCGATAGAAAATAACACTCTTAATAGAATGACATATCATATGTCAACTTTTGGCATATTCGCTTTAAAAAACATCGTATTTTAAATTTCAATCTAGAGTGAAGCCTTGGAAATTTTTTTTTGTCATATATTTTTTTGTGATGCCTCTTGAACACGCAGAAAAAGACCTTAAAGACAGTTTGTGAGAGCTCCCTGTTAATTTAAATCCTGATACATAATTTTTCTATAGGAATTAGTACACATATCGGTTTCTGCGCAGTCTGGCAGTAACGTGATGAGGTTTCTGCGCAATAACGTTTGGAAGGTTGACCAACTGTTGACGGCAAGGTTGTTTGAAGCACTGTGCTTGTCCAAAAATTGTAAAATCCCACAGGGTGTGAAAAATCTTATGAATTTAGATATCTCCCTAGTATAGCCACAAATTCTTAGACGTTTCTCATGTGTCTGTGTTTATTAGTACCGTATAATCGAAAAAAAACGGAGTCAGCGATGACTATCAAGTGAAGATCGCTGTCATTTTATATGTAAATTTATATGGGAAATGTCATCGATCGTCATTTTTCAGCCAACTGGACGCCGTTTTTTTTTTCGATCATACAGTATAAAAAATAGTAATGGGATAACTCAAACGAAAATTCGCAATTAGGATTATTAAGAAGTTGTTTTTCTTTCATTTATTTTTTGTTTTAATCTTTAGTCAAAGATGTATTTTAATTTTATAATTTAGGGATTTTATATGAGACATGACAACGTTGCTTTATTCTTTTTATCGAGATCACGTGGTATTTACATTTCGTGCCTGCTTCTCCTGAAATGAACCTACTAGATTATCAAGGTCACTCGGTTATAATAACTGATAAAGTAGTACCAGTGTCTGTGACGTCAAAATATAAACGAGTTTTTCGACTGACAAAGCGAATTACTTCCGAAAATTTATATCTCAGTTATCGCGCGTGTTGTTAGTGCAATTTTCATCTTCGTTTGTTACGATATGTTTTTGTTTTGCTGACGATAATATCAAACCTTTATTGATGTTTTGGTTGCCATTTTGATGGCATTTAACAGTCACGGTTTGTGATTGGTCCGCGTTCGGAATTTGGAAAACTCATTGGTCGAATGTCAGTTGACAAAGTACATGTGACATATCTCTTGCTTTCGTTTGTCTCTGGATATTTCGTGAGTTTTAGTGCAAATTTCGGAAGATTTTTGTTACTTTATTGTGTTCATTAGTGATCGGAAGTTGTAGTGCATTGTTACGGATAACTGTCATAGCGTGTCAATCAAGTTTAATCAACAAAGCCTTGTCGATTCACGATGGTGTCCTAACCAATACACACATACATCATCCTATTTTTAAACTGATATTCAACTAATCTCAAGGTTTTAAGTAAGTATTTCTCGCTTCCTTATTCAGTTCTAATCAAATTTGCAAAACTGTATCAAAGCAGGTCATGCATACGCTGTAAGTTTGGTTTTCAATTTTATTGTTTACATTTCTATACCTTCCCCTGACCTTTTCTCAGAAGTATCGATTTTTCGCATGTTTGTAAACAACTTTGACGTTCGATGCTGGTTTATTCGCAAACACTAGGCAAAATCTCATTATACGACACGTGTAAGAAGCGTTCCGTTATTGTTTGCTTTGATTGGACATTTACCTACAAATGATTGTCTTGTTTTTGTTTATTTTAGATTTTACATAGCAAAAATTTGCTGAGTCATTTTTTATACCTAATAAACATTCCAATATTTAATACTTTTAATGAGAGATAAGATAAAAGATAATGTTTTAGTTTTATTAATATTATACAAATAAATATAATGTTTTATAGTTATTATAATTTCAGATATATAAATAAAACAAATATTTTATTTCTGTCTCTGTCGGACAATTAAGAAAATAGCTTAAGAATAAAAAGCGAATTAATTGAATAAACTTTTCTACAAAAAAATACCTTAAAAATACCAATAATTATTGTAAAAGAATATTAATATAATATGTATGAAATGTTTATTCTGAGGAAAATATATCTAAAGGTGGAACCAAGGTTAAAATTTACTGTTTAAATGTTCCGAAGACAAAAAAGTAGCATTGAAAGGTTAAAAGCATTGTATAATAAAAGAATGAACTTGATAATGAACTATGAGTACCTATTTATTTCTTCTTGGCGTTTTTTATTTGAAACTAATTGAATATTTATATTTCGTTTTTTATTCTTGATATAGTGAGGGAAATAGATTTTTTTTTGAAATAAGTATTTCAGGTTTCAATACTGTATAGGTATACCGGGTGCGTCTCGAAAATGACTCACCACTATCACTTTTTATTTTTTTTAGATAAAAAAACGGAATTTGGTATGTTAATATATGGCATGAATTAGGATTGATTGACGTATTCAATTGTTTTTGGTAACTTCCTGTTTTACCGGAAATGACTACAACTTTTAATTTTTAAAGGGCACCTTCGCTATTTTTTTACTTTATTCGATAGAGGATGCCATAAATTAGGATTCAATTGTTTTTGGTCACTTCCTGTTCTTCCGGAAATTACTACAACTTTTGAATTTTAATTGGCACTCTTGGTTTTTTACTTTATTCAATATGAAATGACACTCTGAAGGGAATGACATATCATATGTGAACTTTTGACATTTTTTTTTGACATATGGTTTATTTGAAACCGCAACGTGCGGTTTATAACGACAATTTGACTCGAAATACCAAAAGTGGTACCAAATTATTCTTAAAAAAATGCTTTTTCTAAATATGATAATGAGCCACCCTCATTCCATTTGAAAAAATTGAGATACAATTAAAAATACTATTTGGGCATCTCTTAACCGGTCAGGACTTCCAAGGCCCCTTGACTAAAAATTAGTGTTTTTAACACAACCATGGCACTCTAGATTGAAATTTAAAATACAATTTTGTCTTAAGCGAAAATGTTAAAAGTGTCATTCTATTCAGAGTGTCATTTTATATCGGATGAAGTAAAAAATACCGAGGGTGTCATTTAAAAATCAAAATTGTAGTCATTTCCGGTGAAACAGGAAGTGAGCGAAAATAATTGAATACGTCAATCAATCCTAATTTATGTCATATACTAACGTACCAAATCTCGTTTTTTTTGATCTGAAAAAAATAAAAAAGTTATAAGCGGTGAGCCACTTTTGAGACGCACCCGGTATAATAAAATTTTTATGATTAAGCAGGTTTTGACATTGACGGTTAAATCTATGTAATGTACTAGGCACCTAAATTCCATAAGCATTGTTTTTCTGTCATCATACAGAACACGAAGCTTTTTAATCGTAGATAGGTACTCTATGGTAAAAAAACGGCGAAAAAATTTTTGGCGAGGTCACTCTCTAAACGTCATTTATTTAAATTTACATACCTAAAGCTTATTAAAAATTAACACTAATTATAAAAATATTAAAAACAATAGAACGCTTCCAGACACATAAATATGTTTCTAAAAAAATATATTTTTTTTTGAATTTTAAACTACACCAATCAAAATAATATTTACCCAAATAAATTACTATCTTCTTAAAGCCCCGTTCTCAGAACAGCGACCTTTCCAGCGACACATCAAAAGAACCAATCAGATTTGTACAAAATTCAAACAGCTGTCAATTTTAAATTTAGTACAGCTCTCATTGGTTGTTTGAAATGTCAAACTGTGTCGCCGGCGACACAAGGCAGTTCTGAGAACGGGGCTTAAAGCCCCGTTCTCAAGCCCCGTTCTCAGAACAGCGACTGTCGCCAGCGACACGTCAAGAGGACCAATGAGATTTGTACAAAATTCAAACAGCTGTCAATTTTAAATTTAGTACAGCTCCCATTGGTCGTTTGAAGTGTCAATCAGTGTCGCTGTCGACACGACGCAGTTCTGAGAACGGGGCTTCAGAATGACGTCGTGTCGCCAGCGACACTGATTGACACTTCGAACAACCAATGGGAGCTGTACTAAATTTAAAATTGACAGCTGTTTGAATTTTGTATAAATCTCATTGGTTCCTTTGTCGTGTCGCTGGCGACAGTCGCAGTTCTGAGAACAGGGCTTTAAGGTAGGTAAGGCTCCAAAATTACCATTATTGTCATTCCCCAGCGGTCTTTGACATTTTTTTTTCGATCGTTGATCAGGGTTGGATAGGTAGAAAAGTTTACATACTTCTTCAACACTTCTTCTTTATGTGCCTTCAAGAATGTTGGCTACCATCGAGGACTGGTACTTACTTGTACTTTGTACTTTACTTGGACTGTGGTACACTTGTATTTTATTCACGGCTCTTTTAAATAGCGTAGAACATTATTTTTCTACGCCAACTAATTGTCTACATCTCGGTCTACATTTACTACCTACATGTTCAGATGTAGAAAATTAGTTTTGTATATTGAAAGCTATTTTTGGGGTTTATATTTGTTTTAAATACTTAACAGATTGATTAGTACAAGAAGAAAATTTGGTTAGGTTTGGTTTATTTTTTTTTCCGGAATTTTTATATTATTTGAAAAAGATATGGTCTGTCCAGCGGGTCTGACAATTGTCTCTCTCATTATAATTCACAAGCATATTATAAGCCAATTTCAAGCGAATAACCCAATGTCTAAAGAATCCAAGGACAAATAATACCCGAGAGAAAATTATGACGCTGTCACCAAACAGTGCCGTGGCACATATTTTTCTTAACCTAGCTGTTTGAAGCAATATTTATATTTTTTGATAATTGTTTTGACTACGCCTATGGTGTATCATCCTAATTAATTACGAAAAAAACGTATTAAAATGTTAACAATAGGTACAAAACTAGTATCGACGTATAGCACATATCAAGTACATATAGATGTTAATTGAAATTGAAGAATAATTATCGAATTCAATAAGAAAACGCTAACAAGTTGGAGTGGACTGTTTATTTACCTATGAAACCTAACTCCTGGCTCTTTCTTATCGCTGCTGCTTTTACACTTAAAAGCTGAACAACTAATCACCATTGTAATAAAGTTTATACAAAGTTTACTACACACAAACTATTAAAAATCGCTAAAATTGTCGCTGGTGACCAAATGATGACTCATTGTTTGCCACCAAAACAAAAAAAAAGGTCACAAATTCTGCTGCAGCCCGTATAGGGGCGTTACATGTCCTTATATTCTTTAGTCATTGGAATAACCGTTGGTTATGTTTGACAGATAAACAAAGCTTTAAACGTAAGTTGTCAACCAATCGCTAGACAACTGACGTTTAAATGTTTGTTTATCTGCCAACCAACGGTTATTTGCTTGAAATCGGCTATATTTTCTATTATACTTTAACATATAGTAATAGAAGTAAATTAATAACAATAACTCTAATTGCTATTTATTATTTAACAAATAGATAATATGTCATAAAAACTTAACCTGCTTAACTATGAATTTCTCTCAGAATTTTTATATTATTTGAAAAAGATATGGTCTGTCCATTGGGAGGATCCAACAGTGACCATTGTCTCTGTCAATAATTCACAAGCATATTATAAGTCAATTTCAAATGAATAACCGTTGGTTATGGTTGACAGATAAACAATGTTTTAAACGTCAGTTGTCAACCAATCGCTAGACAACTGACGTTTAAAGCCCTGTTCTCAGAACATCGGTATTGTCGAGCGACACGTCAAAAGAACCAATCAGATTTGCACCAAATTCAAAATTGACAGCTGCTTGAATTTTGTACAATTCTCATTGGTTCATTACAATCATAATTTTGAGAACGGGGCTTAAAGCTTTGTTTATCTTCCAACCATAACCAACGTTATTCGTTTGAAATTGGCTATATTTTCTGTTTTGTCTGTCAATATCTTTCCTGATTCGTTGGAGAGATTATAGTAAGTTGAGTAGTTTTAGATTTAACAGAAACTTTTTTTAATAGTAAAACTGAAACATAACTAGAAAAAAAAATAACACCTAACATCGGATTTTATACATTTTCTACATATTATATATCTACTATTCAACATTTTCTACTCACTTTTCTACATACACGTAGAAAATTAATTTTCTACGTGTCGTTATCCATCCCTGCCGTTGATTTAATAGGTGTATTTTCTTTTTCAGAGTTATGGGTGAATATCAAAGCTATACTTTGGAACCTGGAATTACAATTAAGCAAGAGCCAAATAACGAATCTAACATAATGATTTCAGCTTCAGTTCCCATCCCTGTGAGGAGAGAACCTCCAGAATATAAGGATTATAATTTTGACTTTGATAATTCGCAGAGTCCTATATACAATAGCTTAGGTAGGTATAGTGAAAAAGTTTCGCCAATTAGTCCACAATTCGCTATTACACTATTATATTACTATTTCAATGATGTTGAGAGCCTGGCATTTGTTGATATATTTGGCGACTCGCTGCGTCAATTTAGGAATGTTTTGGTCCGGCAAATGAAGAATCCTAGCATTTTTTGATATTTTTTATTGTAGTTCATTAGAATTAGAGTTTTACTTTCACTTTTAAATTTATACTAGGTGTTATTTTTTTAAGATTACATATAGATTTGTTTATCTATATGTTATTTATTGTACTTTTATTGTTGATTTGTGCTTATGTTAGCTTCATTTATTATGAATGTTCTGAATTTTTTAGTGTACACAATTGTCTTTAATTTGGGATTTCCTGTTAGACAATAAACGATTATTTATTTATTTATTACAGAGCATTATTCAAAACTGACTAAATGCCAAGCGCGGGGTGCGCTTTATGTATCGCTGCGAATCTTCTTGAAAGATCTTTTCTAGAATTCTGTCGTATTCCTTTTGTTTCTGGAAATTTCTGTTTATCCGAAAACACAGAACTCGCTTTTCTCCTACTTTGTCTGCTCCCTAACAGATATCCCCATACACCTTGAAAATATCCTATATAAATTAAGGAGAAATGTATGATTAATAATAATACTTTTTTAAAACCATTGCTAGATTTTTTCACTTAAAAAATTATTTTCTTACTGTACTTACTCTACTAGGGAGTTGGGCTAAGCTAAAACGTGAATTTACATTCACAGCGTCCAATGCAAGAGTAAAAGTGTTTTGGTGTATTGTGGTATTTACCGTTTTACACTTTATATGATTCTGTTTTGACTTTTCCTAATGACATATATGATATGTCATTCTATTCAGAGTGTCATTTTCTATTGAATAAAGTAAAAAAATACTGAGGGTGCCGTTTAAAAATCAAAAGTTGTAGTCATTTTCGGTGAAACAGGAAGTGTCGAATCCCAATTTATGTCAAAAATACAAAAGTTGGGTGAGCCACTTTTGACACGCACCCGGTATATAAAAAATATAGTATTTTACGCATAATCTAAAAATAAAGTAAAAAAAGGGTGGCACGTTTAAAAAAGAATATAAAATAATAAATCACGTTCACAGGCAATGTTGCCAACTTTCTGAACTAGAATTTCCCACGGACACGGTTAAAATTTCCCGTATATAAAACATTTTCGAAAAAAAAACTGTCAAAATATAGGTACTTTTCAATTTTTTTTCTCGCCCTGTAAAAAAATAAAAAACGAGATTTGGTATATTAATATATGACATAAATTGGGATTGATTGATGTATTCAATTGTTTTAGTCACTTTCTGTTTTACCGGAAATAACTACAACTTTTAATTTTTAAATGGCACCCTCCGTATTTTTTTAACTTATTTAATAGAAAATGACATTCTGAAAAGTCAAAACACAATCATATGAAAGAATCATATGAAATGTAAAATGGTAAATACCACAATACACTAAAACACTTTTACATTTGCATTGGACGCGCGTCTCGCTAACCATGTTAGCATCATCAGCAAATGATTAAAACAAAAAAAAATAGTCTTAATCATCTGCTGATAATACTAACATGATTAGAGAAACGCCCATCCAATACAAAGGTGTTTTGGTGTATTGTGGTGAATTAGTATCATATTTTGCTGTTGTAATATCAAAGGTTTCAACCCCCAACAGTAATCAGATAAATAAACCATGAAATTTTTGATCTATAACTTTTTTTTCCATAACAAAGGGCCGTCCTCTGCCGGAAACACTGCGACCTGTAAGGCCTATTGTGTTTGTCCCCCTTCTATATCTGCACCCATTCTCCTATCCCTGTGCCCTGCACTAGCTTATGCAGGTCCTTGAGAGGATGGGAGCACAGTTCCTCCGGTTCTAGCCTAGCTTTCCCAAATAAAAAGTGTCGCTTGCGATCCAGAGCCTCGCAATGACATATTATGTGCTCCGCTGTTTCAGGATCTTTATCGCAGAGTCTGCAGCAAAGACTTCCTTGATACAGGTTGAGCTTGTTCAGGTGACACTTGACAGCCATGTGTCCTGTCAAGAGGCCTGTTGTAATAAGCACTTTATTCCTGCTAAGCATTAGCAGTTCTTCTGCGGTTTTAGAGCTATCTATAACTTGCTTTTTGATGCTATATTTTTATTTTCTTTAATCTAATAAGTTCTATCATGACTTAGTTACTACTTAAATGCCGTATGATAAAAAAAAGACTTTCAGCGGCCTTTGAAATGTTTATCATTTAATAAATAGTTAAAGTCTGTTTAATGAGAGGACAACACCTTTACATGTAGAACTCTACATTCAAACCATAAATCTTGATTTTAACTTTTTAACTTTTTTGTTTGACTGACAAAATAGAGAAAAAAATTAATTATTGAATTCGCTTTACAAATATTTTTCATGTCTGTTTTGTTTCAGTTTTAACAAATGACCAGGTATTGTCCCCAACAAACACATACGATATATCTAGCAACATTTGGGGCAGTAGGCTGTCAAGTGAAGAACTGTTAAAGTCTGAAGCTTTGATTCATATGGATGAAGATGATATATTCCAGGTCGACAAAGCTGATCTTATACAGGGTAAGTTTAGAAAGTACATTATAGTGTTTTAATGTATTGCGGTTGGTTTGTGTATTTTACGTGAATTGATTGATTTATCAAAAAGATGGAAAATGACCAAGTTTTCATAAAATTTAAGGATAAATTGAAATAAGATATGAAAATAACATAGCCACACAAAAAAGAAAAGTGGGGTATGCTATTTACCATACCATCATATCCTATAGTATTTTTCGACGCTGAGCACGAATCCGCTATCAGAATTACGCTACCGCATCTCATTTTTTTTCTAACCTCAAAAACTTGGTGAAAATCCGTAAAAATTCAGGAAAATGTAGTAGAAAAAATCAAAAACTTGTTTTCTTATGTATAACACTATAAGCTAATGTAAGTGGACCTGATAAACTTAAAAAACCCTTCAGAATTGAGCTAGCACGTCTCACATTTTTTCTAACCTCAAAATGATTCATGATGAAGTCATGATTTTCGAAAATCGGACGGATCTTAACCAAAACCGGTATAGGGTTTTTTTTTAGGTTGCTGATCATGAATCTGACGTCGGATTAGCAAAATCCAAAATGGCGGATCCAATATGGCAGATGCGAATTTCCAAAATCACACGGATTTTAACCAAAACTGGCATAGGGTTTTTTTGGGTCTCTGCTCATGAATCTGACCTCGGATTCGCAAAATTCAAAATGGCGGATCAAATATAGCCGACGCGAATTTAAAAAAAACCACGGATCCGAACAAAATCGGTATATGGGAGTTTTTTTGATCGCGAATCTGAAGTCAAATGGGGGATTGATCGCGAATCGATCGCGAATCTGACGTGGGGTTGGCAAAATTCAAGATGGAGGATCCCATATGGCCGACCTCAAGAACGGTGTGAATCCGATTCGAATCGGTCTTGCGCCCACAGGGTAGGCTATTTTTGAGGTCGGTCATATGGGATCCGCCATCTTGAATTTTGCCAACTCCACGTCAGATTCGCGATCAGCGACCCAAAAATCTCCCATATACTGATTTTGTTCGGATCCGTGGTTTTTTGAAATTCGCATCGGCCATATTTGATCCGCCATTTGGAATTTTGCGAATCCGACGTCAGATTCATGATCAGCGACCCAAAAAAAAATCTTATGCCGGTTTTGATTAACATCCGATTTTTTAAATTCGCTTCTGTCATATTGGATCCATCATTTTGAATTCTGCCAATCCGACGTCAGATTCATGATCAGCGACCCAAAAAAACCCTATACCAGTTTTGGTTAAGATCCGTGCGATTTTCGAAAATCATGACTTCATCATCACACTTTCGAAAATCATGACACTTCATCCGCGTGAATAACAGCCACCATTATATGCTCGTTGAATAATATACTATTTTTAATTATGACATTATCTTAAGTATAGAAACTATGCAGATGGACAAGCAGTCCTTGGAAAGCAGTATCTTTATATTTTGTTTGCTTATTTTATGTAATTAAGTATAATTTTGTACTTTGTCTCCAGGTCCAACTCTAGCTGAATTAAATGCAAATGATGAGAATCTACTGGGAGATTTTAATTTTGATGACTTACTTTTACCTAATGATACCAGTTACACTATTTTGGAAAAGAGTACAGGAAACTATAATAACTATTTGAATAACTACACAAATAACAATCAAATGATTACCTCTTCGTCTTGCCCCCAAGGTAATGAAACTTAAATTAGCAGTGTCACTTATAACAAATGTTAACATTTATAACACTTTTAGGTTTAATGTTTTATAAGGATTTAGATTTACCTTCTGGTGTTATTACAGGAAACTATGATATTAATTCAAGGACTCCAGTTTCTGCATTGTCACCAAGTAAGTAGATTTTAATCCCTCTTCATTTTTTTTAATGAAAAGTTAAAGTTCATAATATACCCTGCTGGTCATCAAATTTATGTGGTCTGGATTTTAATGCGTGTGACAGAGAATAGTAGAAACGACCGGTTGACAGACAGAGAGACAAAATCAAAAGCGGCATACAGTGTTGCCGGTTTTTTACGTTTGTAGGAAAATGTGTGTAGAAAAATATGAGCTATTTTAAAAACTTTCAAGTATACTACTGAAATGATGATAATATATATCTAAACTAAATATAATCTATTACAGCTGTAGTAAAATGAGTAACTAATAGTGAAAAATAAAGTTCCAACCCTAGATGCAACATTTTTCGTAAACGCCTACTTGTGCGGTTTGGAATTTTAACAACAACAAACAAAGCTTTATTGTGCAAAATGCCAAAACAGCTTCATCGACAAAGCAATCATAAAACAAACAAAAGCACAAAAAAAATATACACAAACAAATCATACATATACACAAACAAATCAAATACACAATACAAATCATACAGTTCAAAAAAATTTAAGTCATTATGATTACAAAAAGTACATGCATGGACAATTGCAGAATAGTAAGCAGTAAATAGATATAATTTTAAGAGTTATAAAATTTTAAATATTTGACCTTTGACCAGTGCGTGAGATGATCAAAATTTTAAATCTCAAAATTGTTCATGATTAAACATCAACAAAAAAGTCGCTTACCGCATATAGGGCTCTCTCCATTAAGTATGATTTCAGAGCTTTGCAAAATGCGAGAAAGAATCAAAAGCGACTTGATATTCAAAGGCAGATGATTGTACATTTTTTTAGCATTGTACAGTATTGAACCTTTAACTAGTTCTGAGCTCGGGGTTGGCAGATAAAAATCGTGCTCCGCATTCCTAAGTGGATAGTTATGAGATGGCCTTTCGGGAATAGAAGATATGTGCTTGCGGATTAAGCAAACGGATTCAAAAATGTCTTTTCAGTATCTTTCCAAAAATTGATTCAGTATTTTGAAATTTTTAAAGAAATTCTGGCTACTGTTCAGTCCCAATAAATATCGAACTGCTCTCTTTTGAAGTCTGAAAATACGATCAAATTTTGTTGCGCAGCAAGTACCCCAAAATGGAAGGGCATAACGAAGATGTGACTCAAAAAGGGCATAATAGGCTATTCTAGAGGTTGATAAGTTGAGCTCCTTAGAAACTGATCTTAGCTCAAAACAGGCAGCGCTTAGTTTCTTTGATAGAGCGTCGATGTGAAAGTCCCATTTTAACGAGTTGTCTACAACAAGTCCTAAGAATTTCACAGAGTTCACGACGTCAATAGTGGTGTTATTAAGTATAAAAGGTTGTATAGTAGTATAGTACTTTTATATGACAAAACTTCAGTTTTTGATAGGTTGGAGCATAGGAGATTAGAATCGCACCAAGATTTAATGCAAAATACGGCAATACCGCATAGAAGAAATGTGTCAACCCAATTTTTATCTCTTTTTAATATATTTGATTTTCCATTAAGCATTTTCCATCATTGTCTTACACGTTAAAATCCAGACCGCACAGTTTCTATGACCATATCGGTATATAATGGTTACAATCAACAGATGATCAAATATTTCTATAATTAAAATATATGCTGCAATAATATCTGAAGTACAGTTTAGATTAGAGCCTATATATCAATGACAGATGATCATATTGTGTAGGTCATGCCAAGTACTATTTTTAATATATTAAAACTAAACATATTCTTAACGAAAACATAAATATTATGCTTAACAGATAAATTAAAAATAAATGTGTTAAGTCTATTTTTAAAAAAATTAATGACAGTAGGTAGCTGGAATAGCTTAGAATTGCTTAAGACATTAGAATTTCTTCAAAAAAAAAATAATATACCGGCTGAATCTTAAATAAGCGCAAATATTTTCAGGGCTGGTAGATATCGATACAAGAAACATATTTTTTCTTTACCGTTTTTCAAATAAATCTAAAATAACCGTTTCCAAGTAAAATATACTTTGAAAATTTTCAAAAAAGATTTTTTTGCTAAAATTTTGAGAACCATTGGATTTTTTCTGGATTTTCTTTCTTGTAAATTTAATCCACTACCTATGTTGCCATATTATCAACACATTATATTTTTTAACTAAAAACTAAAAAAATCTCCAAAATTTTTTTCAAAAAATTCCAAATATTCATTTTTTTTTTCGCGAAAGAAATCTCATGATCTTGTTTCTGGGGTGGAAATATACTACCCTTAAATATATTTGCACTTATTTATATAGACACACCTTGTATAGGGTATTTTCTAAGTAGTCTAAAAATTTCAGGATGTGATTTCTTAAGGTGCGTATTCATTATCCGCACGAACGAACGAATGAAAGTGCGGTATATTTAGACGGGGACCGAACGTATGCGGCCGTTCGTTCGGTCGTGCGCTCGACCATCCGCTTCGAGTCCGTACATCAAAGGCGTTCGCCTGCGTGCGCTTTCAGATTTAAGGTGCGTATTCATTATCCGCACGAACGAACGAACGAACGAACGAACGAACGAACGAATGAAAGTGCGGTATATTTAGACGGGGACCGAACGCATGCGGCCGTTCGTTCGTTCGTGCGCTCGACCATCCGCTTCGAGTCGGTACATCAAAGGCGTTTAGACGTCATGGTACAAAGAATACAAGGTATGATCGATAGCGGCTCCAATTTCGTTCAGTTCGCGCGACCACCTGTGACGTCACTAGGAAAATAATGAATAAATAAAAAATAAAGAAAGTTGACAGGAGATCTGCAATTTTTGGGGTTATGGTTAAGAATTGTTTATTTTAAGACTTTTTAGTTCGTTTAATTTAATAATTACTAAAACCAGCAGTTCCAAAAATATATTTAAAAATAATAATTATCTATTAACATGGATTTGGACGATAGGTAAGAATACTGAATTTATTTCTATATTCGGTATAAAATTGTTTATTAGGTTTTTAGTTTGCGATGTTTATGGTAAATAATTTTCATTTTCATTGCCTCTGAATTCACATGAGGACAGAGTTGAGGATATCTATGGAAAAGTAACCACAAGAGGAATTGTTACATCATTTAAAAAATATTGGGAAGTTTATTGTTTCCCATCGAAAAGTAGAAAATGCCAATGCAGATGAACGTATTGTAATTGTGATAGAAGTAATTCTAAGGGTGAAGTTTATTATAATTAGTGGAAGTAATACCAAGGGTGAAGTTTATTATAATTAGTGACCTCTGCTTCTTTTTATATGTAGAAGTTTCTGGTTTTGAGAATAAATCGGTTGAACGACACCCAAAATTTAAAGGAAGTATTTGCATACCCAGAATATGCCCATCAAGGATTATATAGCTCAAATTTCCTTTAATGGTAGGCAATTATTCAATGCAAATTAACTTTTTAAGTGACTAAAATATTAAATAGTTTACAATATGGTATATCACTAAAAATATATTACTTTTAGGTACAATTAGGGCCCGATACATTTCAAAAAGTAGAATATTATTTTATATTAAATGAGGTATTGTACTAACAATCAATTTATATTAATAACGGAGATTAAAAAATAACAGAATAAATAGTTCTTTTTTCTTATACTACAAAAATAAACTAAACGTATTTAAAAAAAAATAAAAAGTGATGTTCCGGCCGAGATTCGAACTCCGGTCTCTCGCTTCCTAGCCCGACTCCTTATGCACTGCTCCATAGTAACTTGCTTAGCGATAATTCAATGACGGTATATAAACAAAAAAAAAACAGGTTTATAACAATATCTTGACGATTTGAACTGGCGCGCGAATGAAGAAATGCGTGCGGTCTTCTCGTGCGGTTCTATCGTGCGGTCCCCGTCCATACCACTAGCGTACGTTCGTTCGTTCGTTCGTTCGTTCGTGCGGATAATGAATACGCACCTTTATATGTTCTTAGGAAAAAATGTTCATATAATCATGGGGTCTAAAGTACTTTCTTTCTGATCTACAGGTGTTAAAAGTTTTTAAAAAAATCGATTTTTTTAGTGATGGGATAACTCGAGCGAAAATTCTCTCGAGTACTCGATTATTGAAATAACCGACATCGCTCGATTATGAACGAGCGATGCAAGTGACGAGTACCAAGCGACGAACGCAAGCGATCCTAGAATGAAATAAATGGAAATCCGATTCTAATGTAACATACTCGATAAAAAGCCGAGCGAATTTTCTACATACATTGCAGGTAGCAAATTCATACGACGCCGTATTATATACCGGGTGCGTCTCAAAAGTGGCTCACTCCTATTTCTTTTTTATTTATTTAGATAAAAAAATAAGATTTGGTATGTTAGTATATGACATAAATTAGGATTGACTGACGTATTCAATTGTTTTCTGTCACTTCCTGTTTCACCGGAAATGACTACAATTTTTGATTTTTAAATGGCACCCTCGGTATTTTTTTTTGCTTTATTCGATAGAAAATGACATTCTAAATAGAATGATGTATCATATGTCAACTTTTGACATATTCGCTTAAAAACAAATTGTATTTTAAATTTCAATCTAGAGTGCCATGGGGCTGTGTTAAAAACACTAATTTTTAATCAAGAAGCCTTGGAAAAATAGATTTGATTGTTTAATGTTTTTAGTGTCTTGCCCTGGCCGGTTAAAAGATGCCCAAATCGTATTTTTGACCATATCTCAATTTTTTTCAAATAGAACGAGGGTGGCTCATTAGCATATTTCGAAAAAGATTTTTTTTACGAATAATTTGATACCACACACTAGGTACTTCGAGTCAAATTGTCGTTATGAACCGCATGTTACAATTTCAAATAAACCATATGCGAAAATGTCAAAAGTTCACATGTGATATGTCATCCTATTCAGAGTGTCATTTTCTACCCAATAAAGTAAAAAAATACTGAGGGTGCGATTTAAAAATCAAAAGTTGTAGTCATTTCCGGTGAAACCGGAAGTGACCGAAAACGATTGAATATGTCAATAAATCCTAATTTATGTCATATACCAACATACCAAATCTCGTTGTTTTATCTGAAAAAATAAAAAAAGTTATAGGGGTGAGCTACTTTTGAGACGCACCCGGTATATTTAACCGTTGCGTATCTGAGGGACAAAATTTTACGACCTACATCGACAATCCTTCGAAATAAACTAAATCAAGCGAATCACTCCGATCGCTCGCCGCTTACCATTTGCCGTTCATTACTGAAAGAATATGTGCCCTGCGCACGCAGCTTACTACTTGGCGCTAACGAGTACTTACAACATGCGACGGACAAAAACCTTATTTTTAAATAAGAGCGATATTTCGCTCGAGTGATCACTCGATTATTGCAATCGCTTGATACTCCAGTACTCGATTATTGAAATTAATCGGTTTTTCCCATCACTAAATTTTTTGCAATATGTCGGATAAACGCTACTGGTGCAAGTGAACCAGTGGCGTCTGTACTCACATACTCTTGGATTATTTGATTAAAATAAATGGTAGGCCACTTCTTTTTTTTTTAAGAAAACTTTTTTTCTTGATTGTTTATTCCTTTTCAACAATATTGCTGATTGAACGGATTTTGAGAAAAAATATCAACTACCTTGCATATCTCAAAATAGCTAGAAAATGAGCATACATGCGGTGCGCCGGCGGACTTTTTATTCTTTTTTTGTCGAAAACCATTTTATAAATAAGTTAAACTCATCAGTTTTGTTAAAGAAGTGTTGGTAATCAAGAAAAAGATTTTCCCTAAAAATACGCAGTGCCATACCATTTATTTTAAGCTGATTAAATTCGACAATTTTAAATTTTTAACGCTCTGTAAATCAAAAACGCATGTTGTTGAATTTTTTCAACTCTCTCAACTAAGATAGATCTAAATTCAAATCAAAAAGATATGTATATACTCGAATTATAAGATTTTCTGGTTATAAGGTACTGGCTTGTTAGGTAGTCCAGCCAGTTCAGGTTCCTCTATAATAACGTCGCAGTCTTCGCCAAGGCATATTCAGAGCCTTCAACCGAGAACGAGCAGTACGTTACATGAATTGTTGATGAAAAGGGAAAAATACGAGTCATCTCCAGACAGATCTCTGCTAGGTAAGTACCCAAAAAATTTTCCAGAAAAAGTTTTTATGCAGTTTTTATTTAAGAAATATGTATTTTTACTACATTATTTTTGTTTAGAACAATTAAGTTGATTATGATTTATTAAAATATAGATGCACTCTTTCTCTTGGTTTGATGATTCGGGTTTTGTTTTTGTTAGGACACTTCTTAAAATAGTCCCAGACTTAAAAACAGTTTTAATTTTATACTTAGTTATTCGCCTGATCTTCTCCGATGTTCCTTTCAAATATGGAATCGTCAAGAGAGAGAAAGAGAGAGCAATCATTCAGCTTGTTCATTTGAACATTTTCAACTTAACTATTTTCTGTACCTCCCTATACAGGACCCTACAACAGTGCGACGGGCATCTGTAGGTCCTGTAAAAAATTTTTCTTTGTTTATTTGAAATGGAATACTCTGTAAATTATTTTTTGTTAGATGCAGAATTAAAAAAAATATTTTTTTTGTACTTAAATCTACCTCACCAACTGTTTTTCTATTCGCGGTATTATTTTCATTCTTCAAAACTATAATAACTCAAGATATTGTTACGTTTTTTTTTGGTAAGAGGGTGGTTTAAAAACTTTTTATAGGTGAATAGTGAAGGTTTCTATCACCATCTCGACAGAGACAATCATAGAGACGAACTCTAGAGAGTGTGGGACTCGAATTGTTACCCACTTAAAACAGTCCCCTTCCGAGGAACCAGCTGCCGTATGCTGAAAGTATGGTCAGCTATTATTCCTGCTGATATTGGGAAGTCTGTCCTCCTTTTACGCCTTGGCCATTACTACTTATGCGAGTCAAACAGACAGTCCAGAAGTTTCTCGATTTTACCGTTCAGATGCGTGGAGAAGGTCGCTTTGTTTTCGAACATCTGAACCATGAGAGCGAACCAAGATGCTGTTCTAGAAGATTCCTTCTCTTCTATTTATAGCTCTATAGCTTTTAAAATATTATTGGCCAAATAATATTATAGTGGATATTTTATACATTTTACTCTTGTAACAGTAAGTTTCTATCAAAGCTACCTAATGAGTTTTGTGTAGAATTTTACTATCGGAAAAAGCCATAATATTATGGCTTTTTCAAAAAGCAGCTTTGATAAAAATTTACTGTTGAAAGAGCCATATATAATGTAATACTGCGGATATCTAAGAAACCGTTAAAAAATTAAAATTCTTAAAAAACGTTTATTTTTTAATTCTGCATCTAACAAAAAAATAAAATACAGTGTGTTCCATTAAAAAAAAGAAGAAGGGTTAAGAATATTTTGTTTTTTTATGGTCATTATATAAAACACGCAGTCACAGAGAAAATGTTTTTTTTCTTTTTGGTATTAAGTTACAAAATCTAGTTTTTATTAAACAGAACGATTTGATGTCTTAGACGTGACAAATTGTTATGAAGAAGCTGATGTTTGGTAAGAGCAAACAGTTCTTTGGCCGTTTTCTTAATTGTGAGTTAAATAGGTCGTTTCTCTCTCCCAGTACTGTTTCTTGAATACTGAATCGAATCTTAACTTGCCCTTTGGGCATACTCTGCAGTTCGATTGACGAAAAATGACGATTGCATCTTTTATTGGCTGTATTAGCTCTACAGGGTGTTCCTTAATGATATGCTAATATTTAAGGGACCTATTCTAAGAAAAAAAACTTCATATGAATGTATGTTCTAAACGTAACTTCTGAGATACAGGGTGCTTAAAATTTCTAAAAAAATATTTTCACAATAACTCTGATTTTATTATAGATATCTTTATGAAACTGAATAAACATCTTCTATGCGTCAAAATATATTTTTTGGTGTACAAAGAATTTTATTTATTTCCACCATTGCCGTTAGGTTAGGTTTCCATACAGGTTTTACATTGAATATTTGAACATTTTGTATTTGTTGATTTTTTTCGTCCGAGGCATAGTTTTTGCTTCAAAAATTGTCAGTTTACTTCATGGCCAAATCGCTGAAAATCTGATGCGGTGACTGTTTTGTGAATTAAACTCTTTTTAAAAACATTTTTTTGTATATCAAAATGAGGATTTTGATGCACGGAAGACGTGTATCAAATATAACATCAGAGGTATTTTGAAAAAAAAAACATGAGAAAAATTTACCACCTTGTATCTGAAAAGGTAAGATGTTTAGGCATATATTCATATGAAGTTTTTTTCTTAGAATAGGTCCAAAAATCACCTCCTTAAATATTAGCATATGTCATTAAGGAACAACCTTTATACAGGGTATCCCAGAAATTAGTGCAAGTATTTTAACTGGTAGTATAGTTCAACCCCAGAAACACGCCTATGAGGTTTTTTTCGCGAAGAAAAAAATTTGAAAATTCGAAATTTTTGGAAATATTTTTTGGAAGTTTTTTTAGTTTTTAGTTAAAAAACATAATTTCTTGATAATATGGCAACATAGGTATTAGATTAAATTTACCAGAAAGAAAATCCAGAAAAGATCCAGTGGTTCTCAAAATTTTAGCAAAAAATCATTATTTTGGAAATTTTCAAAGTAAAATAACTCCGTTATTTTGGACTTATTTGAAAAACGAAGAAAATATATTTCTTTTATCGAAGTCTACCACACCTTAAAATACTTGCACATATTTCTGGGACACCCTGTATAGCTGAAAGCCTTTCTATTGATTTTTCATGAGATTTAATATAATAATTAATAGGTAGCAAATTCCTTCACAGTGTTTCTATAAAGTGATTTATAACAATACATACATATATTATGTATAGTTTACAAATTTATTACCCTAGTTTGCAGACATCACATTCGTTGAAAGTCGTGTTTTATCTTGCAGTTGAAGGACTTTTATATAATACCTTGTTTGTAAATATTAATATAAGTGTAATTATATCATTAAATTTCATTGAGCAAACAGTAATAGTAAATTTTATCGTGTTATGGCTCGACTTATCAATAATGTTGCCCTTGTGGTTCAAACATTCTCGCTTGAGTGCATAAAGAGGACTCTCTTATCTTCAAAATTAGTTTTTTGATGTTCTCAAATATTACACTTATTTTTATCCTAACATATACCAGACATGAGTATATCTAATGAAAACGAAATTGATTTCTCTAGTATACTCTGAATTCACTTTATCATTGAAGATGCAAGGTTAGCAAAGTCCCCTTCAAAAGATTTTCTTAATTTTATTTCTTATATGAATATATTAAGTACTTAAAAGATAGAGCGATCACTTCATTTTTCTTAAGTGTCAAAATAGGTATTTTTGAAGTAAAAAAAAAACACAAATATATTTTAAATAAAATCGTTTTAAAAATAATGTTAGTTGTCTAAATTACATCAAAACGGAAAATGTATTTTTAGAAAAAAAAATATTTTGGTACATTCCGAAATAATTTAAATTTTATCACGAATATGTCTGTTGAAATAAAATATGTTTGTAAATAAAATATATCTTTGATTAGTCAATTAATTAATGTTGCACTGCAAAATGTGCTACTGAAATGCTTGGAATTTCTTTTAAGAAAAACCTGTTGTACTTAGTTCATGTTTACAGATTTTATATTTTCTGAATGATAAAATAATTCAGTAATGTAAAATAATGTAAACGAATATTTGTTACGAGGTATGAGGTATATTTAAGCATAATTAGTAGTAATTGCAGTTGAATAATAAAAATTTATAGTGATCATTTATGCGTCTGGTAAAGAAATATATTATTAAATATTAGATACTATAAGTGTATTTTTTTTCTTCAATAAAAATCTTCTCTCTCTCTCTCTGCCAACTGGTCTTTTATATTTATCTCTATCGCATGCATTAAAATACAGACCATGCAGATTTGGTTTAGTTATTCAGCGGGTTGGTTAGCGTGGTTATTTGGAGGGTGTTAATTCATTGGTTGAATTAACACCCTCCAAATAACGGCCATGAGAGTTTTAATTCATCGGTTGAATTAACACCCTCCAAATAACCACGCTAACCAACCCGCTGAATAACTAAACCAATCCAACTATGATCACTATAACTATAAGTTGTCTGCATCCGCTAGTCCATACGCTAGTTATTCTCAATGCGCAAGCGCGATATTTTCCAGTCGATATTCGTTCCGTGTACCTATACTCTAGTTATCTCTCTTCCCCACTCCGGACATTCAAAATCTCGTTACTTTGTTGCTTTGTTGCCTTTTTAGTTTTTGGTAGTCGTTTCTCCATTGCGTTCTATTGTGCGCTAATTCGTCCCACTGATTCTGCATGCATTCATAGAAAATATCCTTGTACCTTTTAAATTATTCACCCGTTTTCCTCTCATCGTTTACAAAGTTACCGTAAAGAAGAGATTTCCGTAGACGGTTTACTTGCATCCTGCATATGTGACCAGCCCATCTTAATCGGGATTTAGTAATCATGACTTCAGCGCTTTTGCGGCCAGCTTTTTCAAGGACTGATACGTTTGAGACATGCTGGTACCATTTGATTCTTAACAGTAGTCTAAGGTGTCTCTGTTGCAACTTGTTTAATGCGTTCATGTGCCAACGGTACGGCACCCGGGTTTCGCTTCCATACAACATGGTGGAAATTATGATTGTGCGGTACACTGCACACAAGTCATGATTGTAGAAAACCCTGTCTTTTAATTTCCAGAATGCTTTCAGAGTCGATATTGGCCTTTTCCGAAATCAAACTGCCGAAGTAATTGAATTCCGCTACATATTCCAATAGTTCTCCGATTTTTATAGTATTGTTATAATTCTCCGGAGGAGCGCACATGATTTTAGTTCTATCGATGTTCAGCGTCAGACCTAAAGCCTCGTATGCCCAGGTATATGTGTACAGCAGTTCTTGTAATTGCTGTAACGTATTTGCAACTAGAGCGCAATCATCAGCGTACCTATTGAAGTTCTGTGATGAATTTTATACGTGTTTTTGTCCTGAGTCTTTTTATGTTGAACAGACCGCCGCCATACCTGTATCTAACACCCATTCCTCTTTCCTACACTTTGCTGTCCACT